CGTCTCCTCCTATTCCGGAAGACGCGTGATTTTCGAGTCGCGGTACTTCTACTGCTGGGTTTGATGTTGCACGCGGACCTCCGACGTCCGCGTGCCGCACTCAACGGCCATGTTGTCGAGGAATGTTTTCCGGACAGCTTCTCCGAGGACAGAATCCAGGAGTGGGAGACCCTCTAGTCGGTCTTGGTCCTCCCTGTTTGCCTGACCGCGCCCCACTACAGGGCGTTCCCGTGAGGCGCTTGCCCAATGCTGCGAGCGCATGCTAAACGCCGCACAGACCATCGGGGAGAGCTATCCTTTCCTACAAAGCAACCGAACCGAAAAGTACTGAAGTTTGCTGTCTCTTGCAGCAAGGCACTACATCGAGGAGTTCCTGCACGCTTCTTCCCAAATTGTACAGCACCTTTCAACACTATCGCTGAACACCGGGGGCAACTGCGGCTGTTTTCGATGTTCTCCGATAAGAGAACGTGCCCAAGGCGGGCCAGGCAAAAGACGCAAAAGACGCTGCCTGCCGGACACGTGTACAGATGGCCGCGGTGGAATTGGCAACTAAAGATCTTGCTCGTGTCGCTTACGTCTGCCTACTTGCTGCTATCTGCTCTAGAACAATTTCTTCTTCTTGCAGAAGAACTACAGGTTGTCGACAAGATCCAGACCTATTTCAGATTCCGCCGGCGTCGCCCTCAGCTCCATCGCGTCGCGATAAAGTGAGCTCCACAAACGTGCGCCGAGGTTTGCCGAACCGCATATCGGTCCGAGCAGTCGGAAACCCCAGTCGCTTTCTGAAGTAAGAACCATGCCCCAGCTACCGATTTGGATGCGACCGTCGCAGCAGTCTCAGCTCTCTGGCCGGACTAAGCCGAGTGCCCTTGCAACTGCCCCGGACGTGACGTGAACCTAGGCCCCAGCCCGTGCAGGATCCGAAAAAACCAAACCGCCGTCTTGCACAACCGTGGGCGTAGCATTGCACGACCCACGCGATGGAACTGGAGCGGAGATACAGAACTGTCCTGCCGAAGACACAACTTGCAACGCAATGTGCCGCGAGCCGGATGTGCTTTGCTAGAAGCCGAGCACATCCGGTTCGCCCCACCATTGCGCTGAACTCGCAAGAATGTGGCCAGGCCACGGGCGGAGGGGAGGGAGACTGCCACGGAGGGTGGGCTTGCAAACCTTTGAGGTTTCTCCGTCGCAGCGAGGCCTCATGGGGTTCCAAGACTGGAACCGCCGAGGTAAAAAAGGCACCTTAAATCTGCGCCTCGATCGGGCGACGAGGTGCGCCGACAGCTGAAGAGCTGTGAAGACCGGAGAGATATTCACGGTACTTGGACTGCTGCGTTTTCGTTTTGCGCGGCCATCAGAAAGACTGCTGCTCTGTTTTCCGCTACTGCCAAGTCGATAGGCGTCTACGTCGACGCTAGTGTCCCGTGCATAGATTTCGCATCTGCTTGGATTCTTGGCCTGGCGGCCAGAAGCTGCCTCCGTGATCGCCAAAGGAAAGCTCGAAGCGCGTCGACCTCGGATTGCACAGGACAAATATTCGACTTTTGTGCAACCGTCCGATCCGTGATCGCCAGACACTGCCGCCCGGACCGGCTTGATGCCGGCAGAAACATGCCGCGCCGTCGGGGAGATCTCGCTTGGAAAGCAAACGAAAAGACAAAGAAACCACCGCGCAAATCTTTTTCGAAAGCTGCCGCGATTTTGCAGCTGCAGCAAGCGAAAGGGAATGAAGAGTTAATGCATGCTTCTTCCTTAATTGTACAGCACCTTTCGATACTGTCTTTGAACACCGAAAGCAACTGCGGCTGTTTTCAGTGGGCTCCGACAAGACGACGTGCCGGAGCCTGCTTCCGCTGACGACGCAGAAGACGGCGTCTGCTGGACAGATGTACAGACGGCCGGGGTGGAATTGGCAGCCTAAGATCTTGCCTCCGTCGCTGACGTCTGCCTAATCGATCTTATCTTATCTGAGGTCGGCTGCTGCTTCTTAAAGAATGAACGCAAGCTGACGAAGAGGCGCAAAACTGTTCTACGCCGATATCAGGCGAGGCTCAGGTGCACAAACATGCGCCGAGGTCCACCAAACCGCGCAAAGGGCTAAGCAGCCAGGAGCCCCAGTGTGTCTTTGAAGTAATCACAAGTTTAAGTGCAACCATCGCAGGAATCTCGGCTCTCTAGCCAGACCAAGTCGAATGCCCTTGCAGCTGCCTAAGACATGACATGAACCTGGGCCCAATTCCGTGCTGAATCCGAAAAAGGGCCGCTGTCTTCGGCAGCTGTGTGCGTCGCATTGCAGGAAACGCTCCATGGAACTTCAGTGTAGATGCAAAGCGGTCCTGCCGAAGACACAGCTTGCAACGCAATGGGGCGCGACGCGGATGTGCTTTGCTAAAAGCCGAGCATATCCGATTCGCCCCACCATTGCACTAAGCTCGCAAGAACGTGGCCAGGCCACGGGCGGAGGGGAGGGAGACTGCGACGGAGGGTGGGCTTGCGAACCTGGGAGGTTTCTCCGTCGCAGCGAGGCCTCGTGGGGTTCCAAGGATGGAACTGCCGAGGTAACAGGCATGCCAGATCTGTGTGCCGTCATGCTCTTCGCTGTAGCACATACAAATATTTTCTTGACCGGATGCAACCGCCGTCGTGATACGGCTGACGAGGAGATGCCTCCAAAAACTCGGCTGCATTGGGACGCAAAAAATTTCTTCCACCTGATACAAATCCTCGCGAACCTACGTGACCGTGGGCCTGGTCCTGGACGAACCTTGATAGCTATTTGAAATGGCTAGGCTAATCGAGCGCAAACAATAAACTACGTTACCAAGGCGTTGATGCATGCTTCGTCGTACTTTGTACAGCACCGTTCGACACTGTCGCTGAGCGACGGGGGCAACTGCGGCTGTTCTCGATGTTCTCCGAAAAGACGATGTGCCGGACATCCCTCGGCAGACTGCGCAGAAGACGCTGGCTGCCGGACACGTGTACAGACGGCCGTGGTGAAATTGGCAGCCAGAAAGCCTTTGCCGAAAGGTTTTTTTTTCGGCTGCACAACCCACTCCTTCTTCATACGCTGAACGACTCCGAGTTTTCTAAGCGATACTAATAACTTCCTTGTGCTGAGGTTCACCGAACAGCGCCTGAATCCAGCGAACTGGCGTGGTCAGCGCCGGTTGGCAAGAATTACGAAGAAAGTTGCACGTGTCGATTGAGCTTGCCAAGTCTACGAAAGTGCTGCTCTCAGGTCAACCACTCTTGTGATGGAGAAAAGTAACGCGTTCTGCATTAGGTGCTGATGCGTTTCCTGTTCTAGAAGCCCAGCAAGAGATTCTCGTTCGGCTTGCAGGCACTCCTCTGGCAATTCCGGAAGTCGACGACTTCGATGACGTGCCGTGTTGCTGCATTAAGTGCCATGACCTGTTCCTACATAACAAGCAGAAACAAAACAGCGGCAGGTGCTCCCTGTTATCCGAAATTTATCCGAGGTCGTTGCTCTCCGATTGCTTCTGAGGAAAGACAACAACGTGCTGTGCAGCCTCCCAACGTGCCTTTGGCGGTGTTCCTGGGGAAAAAACTGCCGTCGGCAAAAATGCTGCTGCGCCAGCACTCGTGCTTTTTGTGCTGTCTCATTAACGTGACCTGGTTCTGTCCAGACGGACGCACGAGGCGATCGCAGACGTCTCGGCTCTCTAGCCAGACCAAGCCGCCTTCCGAAACGTTTTCGCTGGGAATAGTTGAGAACCATTTTGTTCGTTGAGCTCCTGGGAAGGTCCGTCACTTGCTGTTTGATACCGCCAGCTATGGATTCTCGAGTATCAGACGAAGCTGTTCACCGTCCCGCATCTTCGAGTGCGTCGTCCTCGAAAGCGCCGTCCGTTGAGGCCTCGCGTTGCAGACCAGAATTTTCTGCGACGAGCATGCCTGGCGGCCGTGCTGCGGTAGCAGACAAAGTGCGGCTGATGTCTCGACGACGAAAAAAGGAAATCTTGCTGGAAGATTATCAGCTGCCGTCAGGACACCCGGATTTCCACTTCCAAATACAACTGCTTCGCACGGATGAAACGACTAGCGTAGGTCTGCGCTTTGCCAACAAAGAAGGCAAGCTCAGAGTGGTTAGTGTTCAAGCAAATGGACTTCTGGCCGCTCACAACGTTCGCATGGCCTGGCATTTCGGTACCTCGCTCTGTTACTATCATCAAGTTCTTCCTGAGGACATCATCGACTCAGTCAACGGAAAGACTGACATCGCGGAGATGAGACTCGAACTAAAAAGGGCGACGGAGCTTTTCTTGGTTCTGAAAAGAACGGCTTCGGAGGTCGCTTGCCCATGCACGATTGACGATGCGGCCAGCCGTTGTGCAACAAGCTACTGAGCGCTGAGACAACTTCTCGCTTGCGGACGATGGTTCAGAAGAAAAATAGCAGCTCGCTTTCTTTTGCATGCCATGCTTGCACCCCAACCTTTCGCATTTGCGTTTGCCTAGCACCTGCAGGCGGCCGCGACCCCAACCCCCCACCCGCCCCCACGTCAGCCCCCAAGCATGCTCTGAAAACGCTTCTCCGGAAACCAACGAAAACATTCTTTTCGAGACTCCAAAAGTGCATTTTCGATGGTCTGTCAGATGTTTCCTAAAACGCCTCGAAACGCACTTTTCGGCCAGCGTTTGCCAACTGGGCAAGTGCACTTTCCTATGGTTTTTACAATGGATTCGGCACTTTGGCGCGCAAAAGTCGTCTATTGAGGCTAACTTGCAAAGTGGACTTTCCTATGGTTTTTACAATGGATTCTACACCTTTCCGTGCATGTTGAAGCCATTTCCGGAAAAGACCGAAGTGCACGTTCATATGGTTTTTACAATGGATTCGACACCCGTCTTTGCGCAAGCGACTTGGCAAATCTTTGCGCAAGCGACGCGATTTTATTTGCGTAAGTGACGGTGTTGCCGCGGCAACATTGCCGCGAGTTCCCAAACACAACAAAACTTTTGAATGCGTTCATGAAACAGCAGGCGCCATCTGCGGTTTATACCACGCTGGCGTTGTTTCGCAATCTTGAGACGAGGGTTCACTCTGACAAGGGAAATGATCCTCAACAGCTGAATACCATCGTTAAGGTGTCAAACTTCTCCGATGGCGGTCTCTGGATTGCAGACCCGCAAGGCAAAGTGCCATGCCCTTTGTCCGACGAGCAAGCACATGGACGTGTCCTGCCGTTTGATGGACAAGTCTTGTCCTTTGATGCACAGCAGCCTCATTGTGTCATGCCGTGGGCTGGGGGTTCACGGGTGGTTCTTGTCGGGTTTACGGTTCGCAACCCTCATAGGATTTGCCCTGGCCATAGGGAGGAGCTTTCCGCTGTTTCCCGCTCCCTGATAGGCGCCCTGACTCGACGGCCGGTCCCGAGTCCCCCCTTAACTTCGGTGTCACAACGGCGTTGCAGGAACCAGGGCCGACAAACCCGGTTCCAGTCGGCCCGATGCGGCCTCAGGCATCCGACCGTAACGCGCCACTTGAGTCATCTGGGGTGTTGCGCAACAGTGGCAAGTCAATCCAGCCTTCGTTCCTTGAGATTTTCTGTGGTTCCGCCGGTTTGTCTGCGGCCGTGCGAAAGTTGGGATTTCAGGTTCTCGGAGTCGATCACAAGCCCACTGCTAAGCATGCAAATGCACCCTTCATCAGCCTTGACCTGCGTGACCATGAGCAGCAGGAACGCTTGTGGGTGGAGTTACGGCGCGTGGATGCCGTCTGGCTGGCGCCCCCATGCGGGACTTCCTCTAGCGCTCGGTCGATACCTCTCGGCAACTCCAAACACGGTCCCAAGCCCTTGCGGTCAAAGGAGTTTCCCGATGGGCTCCCAACACTGGCTGATGTGGATCGTGACCGTGTCGACAGTGCAAATCTGTTGTATGACTTTACTGCAAAGGTCTTCCGTTTCTGCAAGTATCGGTGCTAGGTGTCCTGGACCCAGACACCGGCACCGTCTCTTACTTTGAGAGTGCCGCGCTTCCGTTCGGAGCGTCGAGCGCAGTGACAGGCTTTAACCGGGCCGCCCGAGCCCTGCGCATTATCATGTCGAGACTTTTGTTCCTTGTGAATACGTCATTTTTTGACGATTTTTGCCAACTTGAGATCGATGGTCTGACCGACTCGGCTGATCAGGCTGCGCTTGCACTGCTGGACCTTCTTGGCTGGGAGGTGTCTGATGGCGACAAGCTTAAACCTTTTGCTTCGGAGTTCACTATGCTTGGGGCCGTGCTATCCTTCAAAGATGCTGGCAGGGGCTTGATTAGGATTAGGAATAAGGCTGGGCGCGTGGAAGAGATTGGCGACATGGTGGAACGCCTTGCCTCTGACCCCGTCGAGGGGGCGCGCTCTCTTCCTTCCCTTAAGGGCAAGCTCTTGTTTGCAGCCTCGCATGTGTTCGGCCGACGCGCACAGGTGGCTACGCAGCTTATTCATCATGCTGAAAGGCACCAAGGTTCAGGGGCCCATGCTTGTGTCGAGGCGGCTGTACGTCGCGCTTTGGATACCTTGAAGGCTGCTGGGGACCGTCAGGTGAACCTGTGGTCTGAGCAGCCGCCTGTCATTGTATTTACGGACGGGGCGTGTGAGGAACGCGGCTCTCAGGTGACGCATGGGGCCGTTATCGTGGACGTCGCATCGCAGACTCATGAGGTGTTTGGGGGCCACATCCCTGGCCTCTTGTTGAGGCTTGGCGCAGCTCCGGTCGTGTTCAACTGATCTTTTTCGCAGAACTGTATCCAGTCTTGATCGCGCGACGCACTTGGGGAAAGGTGTTGCGGAATCGGAGGGCGTTGTTCTTTGTGGACAACGAAGCCGCCAAGGCGGCCTTGATCAGAAACTAATCGCCTTTGGTCGATGCGGCCAGTATGTTGGCGGACATTGCCGAGCTTGATGTTGCGAACCATTGTTTTCCGTGGTACTGCCGGGTGCCGTCCAAGAGCAACTTTTCTGATGCAGCTTCTAGGTTGTCCTTTGGGGAGTATGAGGAACGCTTCCGAAAGGTGCAGCCAATGTTGGAGGCAGTTTAAAGATGGATGGCGCGGTGATGTGTGGATGGGGGAATGAGCACCGCTTGATGTGCAAGGGCCATCGAGACATGTGGTGAATATGTGCGGCGTCGGCTGCTGGCCGAGTCGAACCAATCGTGCATTCCCCCGTCGCATGAAAAAGATCGTCCGTCTTCGAGCGCATTTCATTATGATAACGTTTCCTGATGGGGATATGTTCCCTTTCCAAATATGTTTGGAATATAATCTGGAATCATTTATATGATATGATTTCCGGATTGCTTTACTTATTTCATATGGAAGGATTGGCAAAGAGGATAAAGACAATCTCACGCATCGTGATATCCTCTTATCCTCTAGCCAACAGGTGAGATGATCACCGTCCTTTCATGTGAAGTTTTTCTTTCATGTCCTCTTGAAAATTTTATGAAGGGAAATGTTGGGCGTCAGCTCAAATGCACATGCCTTTTTATTGTCATGACCATTAATTTGTTTTCATGTCACGCATGTAACTCTTGGATGCTGCACGCACTTTTATTTTGTGGTGACTCACCGATTGAATATATCCCGCAGGATATGCGGCTCTGAAGGCAGAGCGATTTTGAAAGTTTTGACCCACCCTCCCACCCTGGGGGGGAATGAGCACCGCTTGATGTGCAAGGGCCATCGAGACATGTGGTGAATATGTGCGGCGTCGGCTGCTGGCCGAGTCGAACCAATCGTGCATTCCCCCGTCGCATGAAAAAGATCGTCCGTCTTCGAGCGCATTTCATTATGATAACGTTTCCTGATGGGGATATGTTCCCTTTCCAAATATGTTTGGAATATAATCTGGAATCATTTATATTATATGATATGATTTCCGGATTGCTTTACTTATTTCATATGGAAGGATTGGCAAAGAGGATAAACTTTGTAAAATTATCTATATATATATATGTTATATATATATATAGATTATATATACATATTATAGATGTTATATTAAATTATATTATATGATATTATATAATATGATATGATATAATTTAATATTATATTATATTATATTATATTATATTATATTATATTATATTATATTTTATGATAATATATCATATGATATAATATTATATTATATCATATTATATTATATTATATTATATTATATTATATTATATTATATTACATTACATTATATTATATTATATTATATACACATATATATATATATATATATATTAGAATATTCATAATATTATATATTATATATATACCATATATTTTATATCATATATCATATATATATATAGTTTATTTTATATATAGGTTATTTATTATGTATATGATATTATATATATATATTGTATAATATAAATATATATTGTACTATGTATATATGTATGTATACATACATATATAATAGTGTATATATATATATATACATACACATACACATATATACATTATAATACCGGGACCTACGAATATTTTTCGGGGCAGGGCTGAGGCCAACCGAGTTTCCTTTTTCCACAACAACCATTTTCATGTGATGAAACATGGTTGAGTGCGATACACATGCGAGATTTTTCAACTCAAGTCTTTTTCCCTCTTTGCAAGCATGTTCTTTGAATCAGAATCCGAGCAGCTTTGAGTGCTCGAGCATAGCACAAAGTTTTTCAGCCACCTACCCGTTCGGGGTACGAACGGGTGCGCAAGGATTCTTGAATCAAACTCACTGGCCCATGTGTGTAGTTTGGAAATAAATCTGTGTATTTGTATATTTGTACATATGTAGAATGCTTCAGGGGCAGTGAATCCCAACAACAAGGCCCAAAAGGTTTTTTGTTTTGTGTGAATGTGCACTCTTCCACGGAAGCAAAGCAGCCGAAATGTGCGAAGCTCCTCCCAATGTCCTGGCACTGCCGTTGGGGCTTCGTGCAACGGTGGCAGTGGAGTGCACAGTGTGCCTGGGTTTTTGGGTGATCGTCGCAGCCATCGGAAAGATGATTTTGATTGATGCTAAGGTGCCTTTGACTGTGATTGCGAGTGGTTTCGCTGGGAGTCTTGTGGCCTTAGACGTTGAGGAAAAGAGAAGCAACCTCGCTGTTGGGGCCTTCAGGACGAGGTGGTGGCTGACCTACACTGCTCGGTACTACTTTGGGATTTTGCTCATGATGCTTGGGGACATGGCTGTGCATGCACACTTCGGGCTGCCACTCCCTGACGTGGTTGTCCTGTGGTTGAGCCTTGTGTCCTCGGCTAGCACCGTGAACTTGTTCCTCACGGACATTCCCTTCCTCTCCTTGGCACCTGTGGCATCACGCGATTCCAAGATGAAGTACGCGTGCACATTGATCGCATTGATTATTGGGGTTGGACAGGTTCTGCTCACATTGCTTGACTTGCGTCTCACGCAGTGGGACGTGGTTTTGACGCAGCTGGCCGTGCGCCGAGTGCTGACGCTGGCGTTTGTCCACGTCGTGGCTTGGTGCAACTACGGCGCTTCGGCTTCCGATGTTCTGCTCACGAAGCAAAGCCTGGAGTTTGCTATCCTGGCTTCGACGATCAATGAGGAGAATTCCTTCATTCAAGCAAACGCCAAGGCCCGTGCCGTCGTGGGCAACCTGCTGATCAAGTTGCCAATCGTGGGAGGGGAGTCGATGGGAGCATTTGACCTCTCGCGCGTTGTCGACAAGCTCGTCTTTGCAGAGCAGATGTGGGCTTTCTCTTCTCCCACGATGGTCAGCTTGCCAGAGCTCTTGAATGGTCACATAGCATTTTTCACTTTGATGACGGACTTGCAAGATCTCCCAACGTGGATGTCCGACAAGATGTTATGTAAGGAATATGTTGTGAACTTCGCTCACGGCATGTTGCCTGTGTCTGCACTGCAAGCTTGAATGCACGAATGCAGTACAGAAGTAGCCGCAGGCTCAGCACTCAGCATTGCTCAACCTATGTTGCAAAATCAATTCGCCTGGTTTTGCTTGATTTCCAAGCCCAAATGTACGTTAGTCTTTCTATTCGGGATTTTTTTGACCATGTAGGTTGCACCACTCTGTAGATCTCATGAGGCTTTACTCCCTAAAGCTTATTTGTAAGTCGCTAGTGGTTTGGGTTAGCACAATCGGCAAGTTGCTTGTTGGACTCTACCACCTTGCAGATGTTTGTAAACGTGTTTGCTAACCTAATATGTCGTTCAGCTTGAGATATTGGCGCAGATTCGTTTTGCCGGATTAACATCATATCTTGATTGTTCTGTACGCTCATGTGGCTGCTTTGGCGCTGCCAGACCAACCCTGCAAACGAAGGTCTTCTCTGCCATGGACACCTTGTCGGAGTGTTGCTGCGGCCAGCGACTGACGTTTTGGGTTTTGCTTTAAGTCAAGCATGTTAAGCCTCGGGCGGCTTATGAGGTTGGGCCCTCGAGTTTTGAAATGATGGTTGACGTTTTGGGAATTTTAGTGTTTTCGGGATTTGGGGTTGCGGGTTTGCCAAGTTTTTGGGTGTTGGGTTCCCAAGATGTGTGCCCAGGATATCTCAGGCAGATTGCCTTTGTTTGTCCTTCAGGGTGACTGTCTCCAGCTGCTAATCGCCCGAGGCCAATACGAGATCTTTGATTTCAAGCTTAGCGGTGAGGACTCGTGAGGACCTTGCCAGCTTCGATGCTGCTTTTTTTGCAAAGGAGGACCTGGATAGGAAGTGTAGAGCTTTTGGGTTCACGGTTAAAGGGCTTGAAGACTTGGGCTGCAGCGCATTCAAGGTCGACGTTTGTTTCAAATGCTCCTTCATCTCCTAAGGTCCTCAGCCCTATAAACCCTAAAACTCTTTGGTGCCGGGTTTTGACAGTCTCATGGCCCTGGCTGCCTGCTTAGCTTTTATTGCGCTCCGGGGACCGAGCATGATACCGCAGCATCCAGATACGGCCTAAAGATTCGAGCAGCTTCGAACGGATGGCGTTTATCTGTGGGACCGGAGCAGCTTTCGGGCAGCACTATCGCACGGATGAAATGAAGGTTCCGTGATCTTCCGTGTTAAGCTTTTCCGTTCCATATATATATATATATATACAACATAAGAGCTGCAGACCGCGTATTTACACGCACCTCTTTCTCTTCGAAGCGCGCGTCGCAGGCGGCTTTTCGAGAGGCGAAACAACGCAGTTCGGGCGATGAATTGGCCTTCGCCGACCGCATCTTCGATGCCTGCGGCTTCGACGGCCGCTCCGCAGCTCCCGAGAATCTGTTCCGCCGCATGCATCTCGGCTGCAAAAACGCAGGATTTCGCGCGGAAGAGTCTGCGTGACAGCTAAGGGGACGAGAGGAGTATTTGCATCGTCGCCAGGCCGAGATGTTGGATTTGGCTGCGGAGGCTGCGTGCCAGGCAGTGCAGATGTGGGGAGGCAGCTGCCGAAGCATCACCCACCTGTTGTGCGGCACGATGACAGGTGGCATGGAGGCTCCCTCCCTCGATATTCGTCTCTCCAAGAAGCTCGGCCTTCCCGACAAGGTGGAGCGCATCTCTGTGGAGAACATGGGCTGCCTCACGGGCTTTCGACTCCTCAACGTTGCTCGACAGATCGTGGCCGCAGATGCAGTTCGGGCCAAGGTTTTGGTTGTGGTGGCTGACCTCCGCTCACTGATCGGAAATTCCCTCCCAGACTTTTGCGAGCGATCGGACGTCATCTCAGCATGCCTTTTCCGAGATGCAGCCTCCGCTGCAGTGGTCACTGGAAGTAGACGTTCTGGACTCTTGGAGATCATAGGTGCCAAGTCCACGATGAGCGAGTCTGTCGGGAAGTATCGAGAGAATCAGGACGGATCCACATGTCTGCCTGATGCTATTGCTGCAGCGGAACCCAAGTTCCTGTCCACCTTGCTGTCCGAGGCTGGGCTTCCAGAGGTGCCTACGCTTGCAGAGGTGGACATAGCGTGCCTGACAGGAGGCCCGCGAATTCTCCAAGAGGTTGCCCAGGCTGCTGATGTTTACAAAGACCAGATGGAGGCAAGCTGGGCCGTCATGAAGGAACATGGCAATTTGAGCGGCGCCAGCAACCTGGCCGTCTTGGATTATCACCTCCGCCGCGTGGAGTCGCGACAGCCGCCGCGGCGCTTCGTGATCGGCCTGGCCATGGGCCCCGGGCCCTGTCTCGAAGGCGTCCTCATGAAAAACCTCGCAGCTTGCTGACGCGCCGGCAGTGGTGACAAAAAGGTCGTTGGAAGAGTGGTAGGATCAGTGTAGCCAGCCGCTGTGAAGTAAGCTTGTCATGCCAGGACTGCTTTGGCCAGAGCTGGGTGGATGGCGCCGCGCTCTTTGCCGTGTACAGCGGAAATCTGTCGAAGCCTGTTTGTCCCCAGTTTTGCAGCAAGAGGTCAGCGGCCTGTGAGCCACATGCTGTATTTTGCTTCCGGCCCTCTGCGAGAGCTCATTGTTTGGAGGTCGGCCAACCACGACCACCACCACCTCCAGACCCTGGTGTTGACGAATCGGTGGCATGCTGGGCGAATTGTCTTTGAATCTTGTGCTCTTTGTACAGTTATTGCGCTTCTCTGATCATGGACCTGTCACCGTATAATCAGTGGTCGCAACACTGAGCTGTTGTGCCTGATGATTGGCATTTGCATGTCAGGTCCCATCTCGGGGTACCTGGACTATTGCAGTCGGGACCCAAAAAGAGATCATGATTTCTACACCTTCTCAGATTGCAAAGCAGTCTTGAAGACGCGTCTCCAGGAGCGGCGACGCCACGCCGAGAATGCACATGCCAACAATTGCCTTATACCATCGATGTCGGTTTCAGTTGGGGGTTGGGCACTGCTGAAGGGGATTCTCGGACTGCAACTTACAATTCGCTAATTGAAGGGGCGGGCAGCGCATGTGGCAGCCCGGATAAACCATACAATGACATGCTATATACTAATTACTGAAGCTTCAAACCGCAAAACATACAGGACAACAACTCAACAAAGACCGGCGCCCGCCGGCCCCTCTCTGAGATGTAACCTGGGCGTGTATCCCCGCGCTAGGCGTACAGGAACACAGGCTCGCCGGAGGCTCTTTTTACTACAGGCGCACAGCTGTAGATCGTACTCTGCTAGAACCTTGAGCAGCAGGCGTAGGTACATGCAGTGATACGTGCAACGGACAGGCACCGGGATGTGTAACATTCAGTGTTTCAACCAGGCACAAATGGAAAAAACACGTAGAATTGCATGGCCGTAAGGTAGGCATTCAACTTGCCTGTTATTGCCCAGGTGAATTAATGGCGAAGTGATTGAGCTACATTTGTAACTTGCGAGAATCTATACATCTCAGCCTCGAGACAGCATATATGAATAAAACAGAACACGCACACGCAACGCAAACGGATCTTTAGTCAAAAACTCTTTGCCCGAAAGATGCTCACATGTTCAGTTACCTCTCCAGATGGAAAACTTACTGTACTGCACAAGAGTGTAAAGCTGAGCTCACGAAGCGTTGATGAGTATCTTATCCTGTGATGAGTATCGCGTTCTTTTGGCAAAGTTGAGGAAGTTTTTTTCTGAGAAAGGCATCTCCCGATGAGATGGCAGAACACTCAAGAAGGATACTTTCTCCTGTGAGAAGCATTCCGTGAAAGAACTCAGTCAACTGCTTCAACATCATGGTCCCAGATCCGATGTTCGCTTTCCCACTGGTAGGTCATTCTGGAAGAAGACGGTTAGTAGGATTGTGATGTATTGGATCAAATCATCCAGGATATTGTGGAGCCACTCCAGGAGCAGATTCAGGATCCAAAGGAAACTTTGCCCACGTCTCCCGACTGGACCATCAGAAGGCTGTTCTGACTCGGAGTCAGTCCCTAGTCAGTTCTGTCCCTTGTTCTTGCCCTTGGACTTGCCCCTTCCTTCTGTGCTCTGTCTCTTTCACTGTGTCAGGATTTCGGTTCATCGTTCTCATCCGTCCGCATGTGAACTGGATCGCGTGGACCTCGATCAGGAGAGGAATGTGAGCATCGAAATCTTTGTCGGCCAAACGGTAGGCTGCGCTGGTTGAGGAGCCATTCCGAAACTCTGTTTTTGTACTCAAACTAGCCTGGCGGAAAATCAGACCGTTGATCGTCAGACATACTGTGCCCCCACTCCACAACAGTGGCCATGCACGGATCAAGCCCCGGAAGCGTCTTCCAGTCGGGCTGTGTGCACTCTTGGTACGGTCTGCCCCCAAGTCAAGTAGGCCCTCATATTGCTTGAGGAGTCACAAACTGTTGGCGGAGACATGTTGTACCTTCGGCTAGCACAGCACAGATGAGGGCACGCTGGTGACTCGGTCCACGCTTCCAGGTAGTGGTCGAGGAGGCTCTGGTACATGCCACCACGGATGTCCATGCTTTCCTGCTTGCGTCCCGTGGCTCGATAAAGAGCCATGTTCGGGTCACCACTTCTCAGATCGACCTGGTAGTGCAAGTCGGCGAACATCCTGCCGAGGCATTCATGTGCTAACGCAACTTGCGCTGCAGCAATGGTGTTCTTCAGATGGAACATGCAGACGCGGATGCCGTCAGAGCCGGTTCGCTCGAGAGTGCGAATCAGAGACGAATTAGCGCAAGAACCCGTATCATTTCAGACAGCAAATGGCGTCAGTCACACAGACTTGGTGTCCAACTTCCAGACGGAATCCTTTAATCACGCTGAGTTTTAGGTTGCTTCCGCAGGGTTTTTGCTCCTCTCTTGATTTTTTTGCCACGAAACCCAAAAAAGAGTAAATAAAGACAAATGGAGACAACTGTTAAAAACTTTCAAAAGCTTTCAAAGATAAGTAAAGCAAAATACAAAGTTTTAAAGACAGGTAACAACTTTCAAAGACAAACAAAAAACTTTTAAATACAAAAAAAGTATATTTGAAGACAAATAAAGACAAGTAAAGCACATAAGCCGAGCCGAGGAACTTTGCCTTTGTAGGGGTTGAGCTGTTCATCGACCGAGTCTGAGAAAAGTCGTCTTGCTTGCATGTTGAGGCATGTGTGTGGCCGCTACCCACGACTGGCCATGTTTGCACACTTTCTCTGCGTGAAAACATTACATTTGACAGTAGTTAAATGTTTTAAAATATCTAGAAGACAATTGGCCCGAAAACATCATTTGCGAAGAGTTTGGCGCAATGTAAAGTCATACAGTCAAGCACATAAAGTCATAGAGTGAAGTGCACAGAGTCAGTACATAGAAGCCAGTGCATAGAGTGATAGGGGCATATAGTCAAGTACACAGAGTCATACAATCGTCTCTGTGTACTTCACTCTATGTACTGTGTCTTATTGGCTGTAAAACAAACTTTTCAACTTTTGGTTGGAATGGGTTGTATGTTGCCTAGGATAGCAATGAGAGAGGGTTGTTTGGGGGGGTAGAGAGCTAAAGAAGGGGATGGGAAAACAGTAGAGGGGATTCTTAAGGTTTTGGTTTTAATGGGGTTGTATGGTTTTGAAAAAAGCCGCATAACTGTAGTGCTCGAACGTAGTCTGACCCTCACAACAAGCCTTGAACTTTATCCCTAAACCCTAATTTAGGGTCAAACCGATGGGAACCCCCCATGAGCCCGAACCTCGCACCTACCCCGCCGAAATCCGCCGAACCCCCCCCCAGGTTCGCCGAACCCCCCTCCATTTATTACTTACTATTATACGATTATTAGTCTAATACTAATTCTAATGCTACGCAGCCCGCCTCGGCCGCCGGCTGCAGTAGGGCCAGCAGGGGCGCAGAGCAGGGGCCAAACTGCGAAGGGCCTCTTAAAGCAGGTGTAATTTAGTTGCAGGGTCAGGGCTACTTGGAGAAGTGTGGCAAGTGTAGAGCAAACACATGCAGCAAAACCCAAGTGCGCAGAAGGGTTGCAGGAATGAGATACAGAAGCAATGCCAGTGCTTGGTCCTGGTGATGCATGATAAGTCGACGAGTCGTGTGGTCTGGCCGACGACGTGCCTTGGAGCCGGCTCGGTGGGGGGCAGGCGGAAAGAGGAGAAAAGGTTGAAAAACACGCGAGGGCAGGACAACACGGAAGGGTGGACTGGCCGGCCGGAGGAGGAAGGGGGGGCCAGCAAGAGGGGGAAGGGGGGAAGGAAGGAAAACAAGCCAAAAGAGGTGCAAACAAGATGGGAAAAGGGGCCGGGGGGGCGGGGAGGGAGGAGGGCTGGGGGGGGGGGCGAGGGGCAACAACACAGCAAAACGAGAGCTTCAACGAGGAAGCAGGAAAGAAGCCAAAAACGAAACATAAGAAGAAAATACAGTGGAGCCGGGGGCAGGCCGAAAGAGAAGAAAAAGTGAAAGAAAACGAGCAGGCAGAAGACAAAAACCAAGGGGACGCCGGAGGAGGAAGGGGGGGCCGGAGGAGGAAGGGTGGGGGGGAGAAGGGGGGGAAGAAAACAAGCCAAAAAGAAGTGCACGAAAAAGTCGCAATGGAAGAAACACGCGAGGGCAGGACAAGACGGAAGGGTGGGAAAAGGGCCGGGGGAAGGCCCGGGGGGAGGGGGGCCGGGGAAGGGAGGGAGGGTCGGGGGGGGGGAAGCTTCAACGAGGAAGCAGGAGAGCCAAAGCACGCGAACGAAACATAAGAAGAAAAGGCAGCGGAGCCGGCCCGGGGGGGGCAGGCCGAAAAAACCAAAGCACGCGAACGAAACATAAGAAGAAAAGGCAGTGGAGCCGGCCCGGGGGGCGGCAGGCCGGAAGAGAAGAAAAGAGGAAAGAAAACGAGCAGGATAAAACAAAAAACGATGGGAAGCCGAGGAGGAGGAAGGGGGGGCCGGAGGAGGAAGGGGGGGCCAGCAAGGGGGGGGGAGGAAGGGGGGGGCAGGACAAGACGGGGGGGGGTTCGGGAGGGGGAGGGGAGAGGGGCTGAGGGGGGGCGGGGGGCAACAAAACAGCAAAACGACAGAGTTTCAAGGAGGAAGCAGGAGAGCCAAAGCACGATAAGAAGAAAAGGTAGTGGAGCCGGCTCGGTGGGGGGCAGGCCGAAAGACGAGAAAAGGTCGAAAAAACACGCGAGGGCAGGACAACACGGAAGGGTGGACTGGCCGGCCGGAGGAGGAAGGGGGGGAAACAAGCCAAACGCAGACAAGACGGAAGGGTGGGAAAAGGGGCCGGGGGGGCGGGGAGGGAGGAGGGCTGGGCGGGGGGGGGCGAGGGGCAACAAAACAGCAAAACGAGAGCTTCAACGAG